TCTCTCCCTAATTTCCTCCTTGTCAGTCGTCGCTACCAGCGGAGGGGCGGTCCTGAGATCGCAAGACTGTGCGACGAAATGGACCCAGTGAGTTGTCTTCCTGTCCGCCGCTTCCCATCCTCTTGCGTTCCTGCCCTTCCTCCCTTCCTCCCTCTCCTTCTTATCCTCTGCTCTTTCGGATCTTATTGCCTCCTCTCAGTTTTTCATGTCCTTCTCCTCCCCTTCATTCACCCTCTCCTCCTTCGTTCTCTTGCCGTTTTTCTCTTCCCTTCCCACCCCCCCCCTCTCCATACCTCCCCTCTCTCCCACCTGCTCCAGTAGCTTCCACTGATTCTTTTGGCAGGCAGGTGGTACCAGATGCAGCAAAGGCAACTCAATGGACAGCGATAGACGGTGAGATCGGTGGTGGTGGTGGACGAGGAGGAGCGGTAGAAAAAGAGGAAAGAAGGGGAGGAAGCGACGAGAAAAGGGAAGCAGGCAACCAGGATGGGAGAAGGCGAAGGAGGAGGAGAGGAGATGGCGAGGGGCTGTGCAGGAAGAGAAGGCAGGGACGAAGAGAGGAGGAGGAAATGGAGACGGGCTGGTGGGATGTGTGAAAGACCAGGAAGGGGAGCGAGGGGAGGGGCTTGACGTGTGGGAGGGTGTGAGTGGGGTAGGACGAGGAGAAGGGGCTTAGAGCGCGGGGCGGGGGCGGGGCGGTGGTGGAGGAAGAGGAGAGTAACGGCAACGCGAGCAGGCAGGAGTGTCTCGCAGGAATCGGGCGCAGGTCTGCGGGTTCATCAGGTGAGAGAGCAGGACGGAGGAAGAGGAAGACTGAAGTTACAGCTCCAGACCAGCTGGACGACGATGATGACGATGACAATGATGATGATGACAACAAGCGCATTCGGATGGACTTCACCGTGAAGATCATGTGGAGTTACAGAGGCAGAGGCGGGAGCAGGAGAAGGGGAAGGAGCAGGAGCAGGAGCAGAGGAAGTGGCGATGAGAGTCATGGTGAGGTTCAAGGCTGCGAGCAATGAAGTGAGGAGGAGTGAGCAAGCAGGGTAACCAACAGGCTAGTCACTCAACCTGTTCACAACATACAACTTCTCCTCCTCCTCCTCCTCCTCCTCCTCCTCCGCTCTCATGAATCGAGACCCAGGGCGCTGGCAAGGCTCCTCCTCTCCTCCATCGACAGCCGCGGGCCCAGCTCCCTGCAAGTGAAGTCACTTGCTGGCAAGTGAGGAGTAGGAGGAGGTACGAGCAGAGCGTGAGGAGAGCCTTGAAGACATCTCCTCCTCCCTCCTTGCGCTCTGAAGATAACAGAAGTGAGAGACTGTAGGAGCAGGTGGGGGGCGAGATGAGAGGGGAGGAGGAGGAGGAGGAGGAGGAAGCAGGTACATCAGAACATAACGAGGAGAGCAGGAGTAGGAGGACACAGCATGAGGAGAAGGGAAGAAGGAAAACATGGGCAGGAGAAGAGGAGTGCAAGAGGAGGAGGAAGACGGGTAGAGCAGGAGAGAAGGGAGTAGAAGTTGTGAAGAGACGACGACGAACAGCGGGCATGAAACCTGAACGAGCCATCGCCTGGCTCACTGTTGGCTTGACCTCCTCCTTCAACGTAGTTCCTGCTCGCTGGCTGCTCGAACCGACTTGCCCGAACATCTGCCAGGAGTAAGAGGCAGGAGTGAGAGCGCAGGAGGGAGCGAGAGGCAGGACGAAGGAAGTAAGAATGAGCGAGGAAGAAGCAGAAGGGATGCAACAGGAGCACGGGCAGGAGCAGGACGGGAAAAAGGAGGAGGAGAAAGAGAGGAGATATTTTGGTGGTTTTTGGTGGGGGGTGGGGGGAAGAAAGAGGAGGAGAAGGAGGTAAACGAGAGGAGGGGAAGAGGAGGAGAAGGAGGTAAACGAGAGGGAGGGGTGGGGTGGGGGTGGGGGGGCGGAATGCTGCTAACATCGGGGTCGAACTCCTCGTGCTCCTGAGGAACAAACTCCTGCGCATCAAGACGCCTGAGGACCCGCAAACAGGCGGAGGGCAGCCGTACGCACCTCCCAAGGGTCCTCGTCGAGTTCGGAGCCAGCAGCCTCGTCCACCAGGACCACCTCTCCTCCTCGGATGAAGATCTCCTTCTTGTGCCAGACGTTGAGAAAGAACTCGCCCGCCATCCCCTTCTCGTGCGTCATGGGGAAGACGACGTAGGGAGAGTCTGCCGGGCTGAGCTGGAGGGTGAAGGGCAGGGACACATCCCGGTCCTTCCTGAAGTGACTGAAGGCGATCAGGTCACTTTTTCTCATCCTCGCTCCCTTCTCCACCACCTGCCCACTCAGCACGTCAGGTCGGGCAGGACCCTACAGATACTCACCGTCGACATCTTAGCGACGGCAAACCCGATGCCGGCCTCGTAGCTGTTGGGCACCCAGCTCGGGTCGTCTCTGTGTGCTCTAGAGTCCCGCTGGCTGAGGATGATGACGCAGGGGGTCTTCTCCTTGACAAACAGGTGGAACTGAGGGTTTGACAGCCATGCCGCCGGCTCCCGCGACGTGGGAGGGCCCATGGCGGTCCCTCGGTGGGGAGCTGGGGACTTGGTGGGCTTGAACCACTTGCCCTTCATCCTGGTGCAGCGCCAGGGGTCCTTGAAGATGCGGCAGATGGAGAGAGTATCGAAGAGGTTGAAGAAGTCCTGATCCCACATCCAGAAGCTCCCCTCCTCCCCGTTCCCTTCCTGCCCGCACAGCGACGCGACTCGGTCGTACTCCACCCACCTGTCGCTCTTGGGCGACCAGGGGCCCGTCCACGAGCCCTTGGGCCAGGGGTTTCTGATCTTGAGGAGGCGGAGGATTGAGTCCCGCTCATGCATCTTTTCGCCGATCTCGACCAGGTCCAGCTCCTTGCTGTCGATAACGGAGTAGCACTGGAGAGGTTCCAGCCCCATGTACCTCTCCCTCGCTCCTCTGTTGTTCTGGATGGCGCAGCCGACCAGCGACTCTGACTTGAGCAGCTGCACGATCTCCTTCCACAGCATCCCGTTCTTGATCCGAGCCTCCACGTCAGGGTCGGAGAACTTAAGTTTCTGCGGGAGGAAACGCGTCAGTGGGAGCGAGGAGGAGAGATCGTCGGCGGTACCTGCGGCAGCCCGCCTGTCAGGTCCTTGAGCGCGTACTGGACGCTTCCTTGGTACAGGAGCTCGTAGCAGCCATGAAGCTTCGCGTACGCCTTCTCGAGGATCGGCAGCCACAGTTCCGTGCCCTTCTGGGACCTGGAGAACAGGAAGTTTCCTTGCATCGTGGCAGGCAGCCTGTCGTCGACCGTCACGTTCACCCACTTCCCGTTCTTGTAGAAGCGGACGGTGAAGATCCCGCAGTTCTCGCAGCTGGGGGAAGAGTAGCCGACGAAGAGCTTGCGGACCAGCTCGGGCCGGGTGACCAGCATCGCAAGGGCCCCCACAAACCAAGAGTTCGCCAGCGCCCCCATGCACACGTGCGGGTGGATCACCTGCGAGTCCTTGGGGTACAGTTTGGGCCGCTCGGTCCCGAGTTTGACCTCCAGGCTGTCGTAGGAGATCTGGAACGGCCGCAGCCATCGGATGTTCTGTACCTTGTCATCGAGGGCCGCGAGCTGGACAGCAGCTGAGGGGTTCGAGGGGTCCATGAAGATCGACTGCTCCTCAGCTGGGAACTCAGCGTCGTAGTACCGGTACTCGTTGTCCGTGTCCTTGAAGATGACTGGCTCGCAGGTGACGTGGCGGTTGCAAAGCTCGAGGATATCAGGCTGCTGGAGTCGGATGACTGCCGGCTTCTCGATGAAAGCTTCCTCCGGGCCCAGGACAGTCTTGAGAAACTCGTCAGGTTCATCCTCCTCCTCCTCCTCCTCCTCCTCCTCCTCTTCCTCAGCCTCCTTGAGATACTCCAGGGCGGCAGACCCTGACATATGGATCTGCTCGATCTTGACGGGCTTGTTGCTTCTGACCGTGAGGTAGAACTTGCCGTCGACGTTGGGCGTGTGGGTCATGGCGATGACAGCGTAAGGGCCCCCGCTAGGGTCGAGCACGAGCGGGAAGACTTGCAAGCTGACGTCTCGATCCCTCTTGAATGGGTATCCCCTGGCCACGACGTCTCCAGCTCGGAGCGAGCTGTCGAGTCCGTTTTCTGACCTCTTGATAGCGTGCGCTATGGCGCCGACCGTCGTGACCAGGAATCCGATGGCGTTGTCGTATCGATTCCACTGGGCCTCGTGATGTATCTCCGACGACTTGTTGCCGTAGCACCTGGCATCCCACTGGGACATAGAGATAGAGAACTGAGTGCGAGTCGACACGGTGAGCTTGTAGATCGGGCTGGTCCACCACAAGTTGCGCTTGTCTGGGCAGCCGCCGCTGTTGAAGGCCGCCTCCCACCTCCCTCTGAGCAGCTCCTCCGACCAAGATGGCGGGAACCGGATGCAGATGAAGAGCATGTTGAAGTACTTGCTGAAGTCCTCAAACAGCATCCAGAACGTCCCGTCGTTCTCGGGGATGTAGTTGAGCATCCAGTCAGGAGCGTCCGGGTACCTCTCCCTCAGCTTCTCCCACTCCGGGGCGAAGTCGGCCCACCTTCCCGTCCACTCCTTCCTACCCCAAGGGTTCCTGACCTGGAGGAAACGGAGGTCGCGGTACTCCTTCAGGTCGACGATGCTGTACGCGTGCCCCTTCAGGATCCCCCCGTCGCTCTCCTGATGCCTGGCCTCCCCCTTGCTGACGGAGTAGCTGCAGCCACAAAGGCTATTCTGCTTCATCCAGAGCTTCAGTTTCTGCCACAGGAACCCGTTCTCGCACTCGTCCCGCGTCTGAGGATCCATCAGGTTGACCAGGTGAGGGTCACCTCCTGTGAGGTCCTTCAGTGCGTACGTCATCGCTCCTGTCTCCAGGTTCCTGTAGCACCTCCCATGCATCTTCGCGTACGCCTTCTCGATCAGCATCACCCAAATCTCGCACACGTCCTTGCAGCGCGCGTACAGCGGCTCCCCGCTCGGGCTGCAGGGGATCCTGTCGTCGATGCTGACGTACTTCCACCTGCCGTTCTTGTAGAACCTGATGGTATAGATCCCTTGCGAGCCATACTCCGTAGATGCGAACAAGTTCCTTAGCAGATCTCGGCGGGAGGCGACACAGGACAGGGCGCTCAAGAACCAGCAGTCGCCCAGCGCTCCCTGCACTACATCGCTCGGGTTGGCGCCATCGACGAACAGCTGCGGCTGCCGCCCATGTGCGAGCTTGGGGACGAACTCAGAGGGTCTCAGCCACTGAACCTCGTCAACTGGAACATGCCCTACAGGTGCCTCGGTCTGTACGAAGAGGGAGCGGGAGCTGGCGGGGAACTCAGGGTCGACGAACTTTCCGTCTCTTCCTCTGAACTGCTCCAAGAGCTCTCTCTCGCTCTTCCCGGTCTTCGGAACATACTGGATGCTCTTCATCATGGTCGCCCGCTGCCCCTATCCCTCCTTGAGTAATGTCCTTGGTCACAGGGTGCCCCTAGATTCTGCTGGTCACTGGAAGCTCGCTTAGCTACTCTGCTCCCTCGTCCTCTCCTCGTCCTCTCCTCCTTCTATCCTCTGCTCTGCTCTGCTCTGCTCTGCTCTGCTCTCCTCCTTCTGTCCTCTCCTCTGCTCTCCTCTCCTCTCCCGCTTCGTAGTTTCGTTATTTCAAACCGCCATTTCGTCCTGTATGAGCTCTTGCACCAGACTCCCACCCCCTTTCCATGTTGCAATACTCTCGAAGTACCCTCTAATACATAGTCATTTACACCCCTCTGTAATACCCCACCCCCTGGAGAGAAAGGTTTCCCGCGTCCTGCAAATCCTTGTGGAAGGCACGAGTCCGAGCATGGCGACAGGCGGCAGCTTCATGGGCATGCTGGATGCGCTTCCTCCTATGTAAGTGATGCACCTCCTCCTCCTCCCTCCTCCTCCCACATCCCTTGCTTCACCTCCCTTGCTCCCCGTTGATCCTCGCTCGTGTCCGCCTCGTCCTCTGCCTCACTCTTCGAAGCGCCCCTGCTTCCTGCATTCCAGTATTTATGCTCGCCTGCTCCCCAGCGAGGTTGTTGAGAGGTTGATGTGAGTGAGAGATCCTGTCCATGTCTTCTCATCTCACAGAGTCAACATCTTCGAAGCGGGCATGAGACGAAACTTGCGATTGACGAGCATGTCGATGTATAGGCCATGGGACGATTTCCTGAAGCAAGCTGCCCAAACTTGCGGTCTCCCTCTGGACCAGTTCAAGTACACAACAGCGCTCCTCCTCGGTATCCCCCTCGGCTACTTCCTCCGCTACAGCACGAAAGATCCCTGGAGATGCTCAGATGCCGAAAAGGCATCCGCCATCTCAACTCGGCACATGCTCTGCGCCATTATCGGGCTGATGGAGGTGGTCTACGTGTTTGGATGGGAGACGTTCCACTCTTTCTTCTCGACGACAGTCGCCTACATCCTGCTGCAAGTCGCTCCTCGTGACAAGGTCGACACGCTTCCTCCCTCCCTCTCCATCACATGAACATGTCAGGTGCACCTGTGGGTCACAGCATGGGCGATGGGTTACATGTCATGCGCTCACATCTACAGGATGATCGTGGACTTCGGTATGTAGACTCTGGAGGAGGAGGAGGAGGAGGAGGAGGAGGAGGAGGAGGAGGAGGAGGAGGAGGAGGAGGAGGAGGAGGAGGAGGAGGAGGAGGAGGAGGAGGAGGAGAGGCGAGGACGAGAGGCATTGGAGGGATGGGGATAGGGATGGGGATGGTGACGGCGAGGAAGAGGACGAGGACGAGGACGAGGAGGAGCTAAGACGTAGAGTGCAGGTGGATGGTCGATCGACTTCACAACCCCGCAGCTCCTCGTGACTCAGAAGTTGATGAACATCGCGTTCTCGCTCTACGATGGCTCAAGAGACGCCAAGAAGCTGACGGAGGAGCAGTCAAAGAGAAAGCTCACCGCCTGCCCGTCCGTGATGGAGATGTTTGGATACGTGTTCTGCATACACACACTGCTGGCCGGCCCTGCGACAGATTACAAGTGAGGCAACCAAGGTTGCTTGCTGTCTGTCCTGCTGACCGTTGACGCTGCAGTGATTATCTGACGTGGATTGACGGCTCGAAGCTTGCTGGAAAGAAGCCGAAGCCAACTTCAGCCATCCTGTTGAGGATTGTGGGAGCCATCGGCTGTGCCATCGCCTTCTCCGTTGTCTTGCCTTACTGCAATGTGAGTAGTGGAGGGAAGATACGACGAGGATGAGGATGAAGATCACGTTGACGATAATTGTTTCATAGATCGACGGACATGGAGATGGATCGTACCTGTCGACGAAATCATTCCTGTGAGCAATGATCAGTGCTGAGAGAGAAAGTTTTGATCGACTTGATCTTCGCAGATATGTTCTCCTGTGGAACAATTTCTCGTTCTGTCTCCTCCGTCATCGTTATTATTTCGCTTGGGTGCTCGGCGATGCCGGATGCAATGCTGCGGGTGAAATATTTCCTCACTCTACTCCCAATCCCCTCCACCTCCTCTACTTCCGCCTCCTCGTCCTCGTCCTCCTGCTCCTCCTCTTGCTCGTCCTCCTGCTCCCTGCTCCTGCTCGTCCTCCTGCTCGTCTTCCGCTCCTTTTCCTGCTCCTCATCATTAACTACAACTCCGCTCTCATTCTAGTGTTCTTTCCAAGTAACATGCTGAAAAGGTTTTGGATACAATGGAGAAGACAAGAATGGCAAGCAAAAGTGGGATGGAGTTTTGAATGTTGATGTAAGACGATGTGAATATGCTTGCTTCTCTCCTTTTCCCTCTCTCCCCCCTCCTTCCCTCATTCCCTCCTCCCCTCCTCCCTCCTTCCCTCATTCCCTCCTTCCCTCTTCCCTCTCCCCTTCCTTCGAATCTCTCTTTCCTCCTTTCTCCTCCCCTTCCTCTTCCTCCTCCTCAATAACCATTGTTCATCCTCTTCCTTCCTATCCCCTCGTCATGGAGTCTTCTTTCTTACATTTTTCCAGTATTTTGCCGTGGAGTTTGCACCCAACTTCAGGAGCGCAATGAACGGTGAGATCTTTTCCTGTTTCCGCAACGTGCACAGCAGCATATTCCCTTCATTCTTTTCCCTTCTCCCTTCTCCCCTTTCTCGCCCCCGACCGTCCTCCGCTCCTCCCCATCCCACTTCTGTTTCGAGTCGCTTTCCATCAAGCCCCCCCCCCCCCTTCACTCCATTACCTTTTCACCTCCTCCCTCCCTCCCTCCCTCCCTCACCTCCCTTCTTCCTCCCCTCCTCTCCCTCCATACTTCCCACCCTCCCTCTCTCCCTCTCCCTCTCCGTCTCCCTTCCCTCCCCCCCCCCTCACCTTCCTGCCTCCCTTCCTCCCTCCCTCCCCCCCTCTCCCTTATCATCTCCTCAGGCTGGAACAAGGCAACTTCCAACTGGCTTCGTCGCTGCGTCTACGAGAGAGTCCCCGCAAACTGGCGGCAGGCAAGTCGATCCCAGCTGGACTCCTGCTAATCTGACGCTCCGCACGTGCAGACTGCGACCTTCGGCATGTCGGCGGTCTGGCATGGCTTCTATCCGGGTGAGCAGAGGAGGAGGAGCAGCAGCAGAGGGAGAAGATGGGGAGGAGGAGCAAGAAGAGCGATGGGAGGAGGAGGAAGGATTGGGAGGTAGAAGGTATAAAAGGAAGAAGGAACGAGGGGAAGGGGAAGGGAGGCAGGGAGATCGGAGGAGAGGAGCAGGAAAGAGAGACAGAAAGGGTTAAGTGGACGAGAGAACTCGAAGTATTGAGGGCGAGAAGGAGGAAGAAAAGGGAAAGAGAGGAGGAGGGAGAGGAAGAGGAATAGATGGAGGTATATGTAAAGCAGGAGGAGAACGGAAGGTTTTGAGTGGAGAGGATTGATAGACATTTCAGGTTACTACTTCACGTTTATCTCCTGCGCTCTCTTCAACGAGGTCGCAAGACTTCTCCGCCGGCACGTCAGGCCGCTAGTCATTCCTACCAAGGTAAAGGGAGAGGAAGTGGAGGAGGAGAGAAGAAGAAGACGACGAGGACGAGGACAAGCAGTGAAAGGAGGAGGACGAGGAGGAAGACAATGAGGACGAGGACGAGGACGAGGAGAGGAAGGAGGAAGAGGAAGAGGGAAAAAGTTTGCGGAGAGACGTTGAGGAAGGAGAATGGGTCAAGTGAGGCACTGACGGTACGACAGGAAGCGGAGAAATCCTTGAATGCAACTCTCTATCACATTTCCTCGAGTGTGTTGGTAAGCAAGAGGAGGAGGAGCAGGGAGAGGGAGGGAGAAGGAGGAGAATCAGGGTAGTAGTGATGGCTGCGTAATGAAGGATGAAGAGAGCAAGGTCTAAGACGAGGACGAGTACACGGAGGAGGAGGAGTTTAGAGTATTTAACATGTATGCAGACTCTTTCTTCCCTCAACTACCTGGCGACACCCTTCCTGGTACGCTCCTCTCCTCTCCTCTCCTCTCCTCTCCTCTCCTCTCCTCTCCTCTCCCTCCCTCCTTCCTTGTCTTCTTTCCTCTCTGCACTTCACTGCTTCTTCTTCCCTCGCCCTCCTCCTGACTAGCTTCGCAGCTGCTCACTTTCCAGAAGAGCATCAACTACTGGTCCTACTGGTACTTCGCGCCTCACGTCGTCGCGCTGCTCCTCTACATCGCTGTCCCCATCGTCTTCAAGCAGGTTGCATTCTCCTCCTCCTCCTCCTCCTCCTCCTTTCTCCTTCCTTCCTCCTCCTCCTCATTCATCTCCCTGCTCTTTGCACCTACTTCATCCTCCTCCTCCTCCCTCCTCCGCTTCTGCATCTCCTTTCTTGCATGCCCTGCTGCCCCTCTCCACTCCTCTTACTCCTGCTGACAGCCCAAGGACGCCAAGAAAATGCAGTAACTTCCTCTTCGTACCCACCTCCTCAGTTTTTCGAAATTTTATTGTCAAGAAGGAGAAAAACTCTGTTCCTCCTCCTCCTCCTCCTCCTCCTCCTCCTCCTCCTCATCATCATCATCATCATCATCATCACCGTCAACCCTCCATCTTCTTTCCCTTCATCCTAACAAATCCTCTTCCATCTCTATACATATTGTCTTCTCCGTCCTCCTTTTCTCCTTCTCCCTCTCACCTCTCCTCCTCCTCCTCTTCCTTCCTGGCTGCTCACTCCCTCTTGCTGACGACGATATGGAACTTCCTGTCTCCTGGCACTCCACTCGAGCCATGCGGATGTGCGAAAGAAACTTCAGCCGCCATTCTCAGCGCACGCTCCTGGTTCCTGACCCAAAGTCCGGTATCGAAGAGAGGAGCAAGGCGCTTTCCTGCTCTCACGCACTCCTTCCTCCTCCTCAGCCCCTTCTTCCCCTTGGCCAGCGCTACTGCCAGCTCCGCGTACTCGTCCTCTGTCCTCACGGTAGTTTCCTCGCACCCTATCGCCCTGTTCAAGGACGCTGCCACTCGAGACCCCATCTTGTCTCCGGGGATAGTGAGCAAGGGGGTCCCCGACCAGAGGACGTCGCAGCCCGTGGAGTGTGCGTTGTAGGAGGGAGTGTCGAGGAACAGGTCAGCAGCAGCCTTGACGTACAGATGCTCCTCCTCGTTGTACCCCTGCACCACATGCACTCGCTCTTCCTCCACTCCCAGCTGCCTCGCCCTCGCCTTGAGGTTCAGCTCTGCGTCCCTCGAGTGGATCTTGATCAGCCACAGGTGCGCCCATGGCGCGTTCCGCATCGCCTCCATCCAGGTATCCCAGATGTCCGGCTCGATCTTGTGGAGCTGGTTGAAGGCGCCGAAGAGGAAGGGGATGTCCGGGGGCAGCGATCCGTACGCTAGCCTCCTTGCCTTCTCTACCCCCTCCACTGCCACGTCATCTCTCAGCGAAGCATAGGTCTGCCTGTGGTCGTTGACGAAGAAGCAGTCAGGCATGTACAGCAGCTTCTCCACGTAGTGCCCCTCGTACTCGGGCGGTGAGCTGATCCTGTCCGTCATGTGTGCAGTATGCTCCGCTCCCCCCATGGTCCCCGCGTAACCCTCGTGCATCAGCTGGACAGGAGCTGGCCTTCTCGCCATGACCACCGTCACTGCGTCGTTTCCTCTCGTGTGCCCAGCAAGGTTGATCAGCACGTCCACTTCGTCTCTCGCGATCCTCGACGCTACTCCCGCCGTCCCCTCCTGAGCGAGTACCACGTGCAAGTCGACGAATCGCTCCACTGAGGACTCGATCTTGTTCCTCCACTTGCTGCCGTCGTTGGCATTCAGGCAGTAGCAAGTTACCCTCGTCCTCCTCCTGTCGTGCAGCCCGTACACGTCCTGCATCCTCTTGGCGACTGGGTGGTCCTTGAAGTCGGCGGAAAGGTAGCCCACTCGCAGCCTCCCATCGGCAGCGGGAATGAAGACGGAGGAAGGGATCGGAATGGGTTGGATAGTACCCTCCTCGCTGAGGACCTTGTTGGTGTAAGTGATCGCGACTTGCTTCATGAGCTCAGCGGAGAGAGGACGGTAGAGGACGGCCTGCAGGGGCTGAACGCAAAGGTGGCGGGGGATGGGCCGACGGGGGTCAGTCTCCTCTTGTACCTGGAACAGAAGTTAGGTAGAGGCTGCTGAGGGAAGGAGAGGAAGAAGAGAGAGGAGAGGGGGGGAAGAGGAAAGATGAGATGAGAGGTAAATGGAGATTTGAGTGTGACATGCTGCGTCTCTGGTGAGGAGCAACAAAGAGAAGCAGAGACAGAAGGAGTGGAGAAGTACATGAAGCGAGAAAATAATGCGAGAGGGAGGAGCGAGTCACGAGGAGAGAGGAGGAGAGAGGAGGAGAGAGGAGGAGAGAGGAGGAGAGAGGAGGAGAGAGGAGGAGAGGAGGAGAGGAGGAGAGGAGGAGGAGGAGAATCAAGTTTTGTACCATCTTCACCAGCCTGTCGAACTCAGCGTGGTAGTTCTGCCAATCGCACGCAAAGAGTTTGGTGTAGACGAGATTACAGAAGATGGTTGGGACATGCGGGAGGTAGAGTGCGCTGAGAGTGTAATGCTCGATCGACTTGGTTATCTTGTGTGCGTCCTTGTGGGAGGGCAAAATCAGCAGCGATAATCATGCCCATCACATCTCCATCATCTTCTCTATCTTCAATTCTCAGCTCCTGCTCCTGCTCCTGCTCCTCCCTTTTCCTGCTCCTCCTCCTGCTCCTCCTCCTCCTACTCTTCTCCTGCTCCTGCTCCTGCTCCTGCTCCTCCATCACCACCAACACCACCACCAACAACATCTCCATCATCATCACCATCACTCTCATCAGAACCGTCCTCTTCTCCTCTCCTGCCACCTTCCTCTTCACATGACCCCTTCCTCTCTCCTCCTTTTCCTCCCTCCTTCCTCCCTCCTTCACCTCCCTTACCTTGTACATGTCTCCGAACTGCCCATGGCACATGCCGCATTGCGGATCAACCTCTATGGACTTTTCGAACAACTTGGTCGCTTGCTCGATGTAGATTTGATCCTCCGGCACTTTCCCGTAAGAGCGATGGCCGATGGAAACCTGATAGGCCGCCAGGATCGAGGTGGCCCAGTAGGAGTAGGCAAGGGCTACCTCCCCAAGCTCGCTGCCAGCAACGCGTCAGGGGATGAGAAGATGGAAGGTGGGGAGTAGGAGCAGAGGCAGCAGCTGTGGCAGGAGGAGGAGGGGGAGGGGGAGGGGGAGGAGGAGGAGGTGGCAGGGGGGGAGGAGGAGGCAGGGGCAGGACAGTGTCACTGCCTGACTAACCTGATCATTTTCTTGTAGACCTCCTGCTCTGCTGCAAACTGCCCTCGGGCGTGCTGGACCTGCCGCAAGCATTAGCCAAGAGGAGTAAAACTGAGGTGAAGGCAAAACAAGAGGAGGGAGACGGCGAGAGTGAGATAGAGCAGAGAGAGGTAGAGACGAATGTGGAAGGCGAGAGAGGAGGGGGAGGAGGTGGTGGTGGTGGTGGTGAAGGAGGAGGAGGAGGAGAAGGAGAAAGGGGAAGGGAGGAGGAGGAGGAGGAGGAGGAGGAGGAGGAGGAGACAGAGTAGCGCATTCCTGCCCGAGGTCGAGTCGGAACTGCGGCTCTAGCGGCTCAAATTTTACAGCTTGCTCGAAGTTCTCCACCGACTTCTGCAGGTCCCCCATGTTTGACAGGACGGAGCCCAGCCCCTGCCGCATCGTCATGCTGCCGCACGCAATTCTTCGGGTCAACCGCGTACGCTCGCGCAAAGTCAGGTTTGACTCGGATGCACTCGGTGAAGGAGTCCCGCGCCTCTCCCAGCCTCCCGAGGTCCTGCAGGGCATACGCCTGGCATTCCAGCTCAGCTCCCTTCCTCCCGCTCCACCACCGGCAACACTATCACCACCTCTACCACTATCTCCTCCTCGTCCTCGTCCTCGTCCTCGTCCTCGTCCTCGTCCTCGACCTCGTCCTCGTCCTCGTCCTCGTCCTCATCACCATCCTGATCATACCCCTCCTTCTGATTTCCCCAAATCTCCTGAATCTCTCTCCTTCAGTTATCTCCTCTTCCTCTCTGACATGAAATGTCTACAACACCTCAATCTCAACCTCCTCCTCTTCCACCACGTCCTCCTTCACCACCACCTCCTCCTACCATGTTGAGGTAAGCTTCTGGCCACTTCCCGTCCATCTTCAGCCCCTTCCTGTACGCCTCCACCGCCTCTTCGTGCTTCCCCTGCCGCTGCAGAGCAACGCCCATATTGATCAGGATTGCAGCGTTCGGACGGAGCTCGTTGGCTCGTTCGTAGGCCTTGGCCGCCTTGTCCAGCTGCTCGTCCGACAGGTACGCAGCTGCCAGCCACTGCCAGGCCTCGACGTCAGCTGGAGTCATCCTAGTCGCCTCCTCGAAGCAGACAGAGGACAAGCGGAGGCGTCGGAACTGCTGCTGGAGCTCGTGACCGACGTCCTTGAGCATTCTGTTGTCTCCATACTTGGGCGAGGGGCAAGAGGAGGGAGGAGGAGGGAGGAGGAGTGGATCTTTGCTGCTCAGATCGATCTCGATCGATCCCTGTCCCCTGTCCTCTCCCAGAGCTCTTTTCACCTCCTGATCGAAACGATGCAGGTCACCTTGCCTCCTGACCAGGTAGACGTAGCGAGCAAGCTTGAGGACGAGGTGCTGCTGAATCCATACCACCATGTAGTGATCACCCATCCTCCACAAGTCAGACAGGGGGAACTCTAGGTAATCTTCGGCGACCATCCAGACTCTCTTGAAGACAGCGCTCAGAGTTGAGACGATCGGCTCGACATGCTGCTTGGTTCGCTTCTTGTGCAGCCAGACGACAAACACGCAGTTCTTGTTCAGTTTCGCAGCAGGGCCCTTGCTGAACAGAAGGGGAAGGCGAGAAAGACAATCGTCTCTTTCCTCCAAACACCAGCTGGGCACGTGCAGGGCAACGCACTGGGAAGCGACATGTTTGATGTTTATCCTGTTCGCAGCTTCTCTGACGTAATGATTCTCTCGCACTCCCTTTCGCAGCGCCTTCTCAAGGTACAGCTGGTTCACAGGATGCTCATACCCTCCAAACTTGTGCGAGAATTCCTTGATAGTGAGCAGCGGGATCTGATTGACTTTGTCTCGGAGGTACATTAGTTCGTCTTCGTCCACCTGCCCCCCAGCTCCCTTGATCGTAAGGATGATCGCGTCAGCGTAAGAACCCGTCCGCTCCTTGGCCTCACTTGCGTTCATCATGTACAGCATGGCCGACGGCCTGATGTTCTCCAGCGGCACCCGGTCGTTCTCGGGAAATGAGCTCTCGAAGACACCATCAGGAAAGCCGCTCTCTAGCGCCTGCACGTCCAGGAACGAGTCAACGGTGCACCTGTACATGTCCTGGTCGATGTCTGCCAGCACGATGTCCTCTCCTCCGCAGTACATGCGAGGTAGGATCAGGGCTCGTCCCATGACCCTCGCTATGGACAGTGCTTCCTTCAGTCTGTCTACCTCCTCCCACACGTTCACCGTCCCTTCCAGCGGCTCGTACGTCAGGTAGAGCCTTCTCTTGGCATACCTCTCGTCTGGATCAGACATCCATAGGAGGTGCTCCCTGAACCTGTGAACTTTCTGAACGTGTGTGTTGCCGTCGCCCTGCCCATCGGCCCAGTTGTTGTGAACGGCAACCAAGTCAGCGCCGCTCCTCTGCCCCAGCATTCGCATAAAATAGACCCAGCCATTCGAAACCCTCGCAGGGTCCATGATACTGAAAGTCAAGGACTCAGCGGTCCTCCGCTCCCAGTTGGAGATAGCCGTGTTGTAGGCATCCTGATCCATCTTGTCGGGACGAGACGCAAGGAGGCGGACTACTTCCCTCATGAACGCGATCGTGGTCGGGTGCGGGGACATGTATGCGAAACCGCTGTTGACGAAGTAGGGAGTGTTTCCCATGGCGTAGTCGAAGTGAGCATCAGACATCAGGTTCAGGTGGCTGCCGACAACCTCCGGCACGGAGAAGGGATCTTTGAACCAAACAACATCCGCGTCGCTGAGGAGGAGATGGAAACCGAGCTCGAGCACGCGCAACGTCAGCGTGGGTTTGAGATGAACGATCTTCTTGAAGGGATCAGACCCGAAGTCGGTGGCCCTGCCAAGAAAGGAGAAAAGAGAAGTTACAAGTAGAAGAGAAGAGAGAAGAACAAGGGAAGCGGAGAGAAAGAGACGCAGATAGGAAGAGGAGAGGCAACGCAACAAACGAGAGGATGGTACGAACTTCAAGATGGTGGTACATCTCAGGGTAGGAAAGGTTAAAGACTACCTCTTGTCTATCTTCCCTTCATCCAACCTGGGATCATAGAAGACGTTTGCCTCGCCCTTGAGGGACGAGTACGCCTCGGCATCAAGGGCGAAGATGACATAGTTGTCCACCCCGACACTCCTTACATGATGCAGCCAGTTCATGCAGTAGTTCAAGTATCCGCTGTTTGAGAAGGTGATAGCAATCTGCTTCTTTGAGTTGGAGTATTGCTCGAGAGCTGAGGGAAGGTAAAGAAACCAGTGAGAATGCTACACAGTTATGCCATCACGAAGCAGAGGGAGTGGGCAGAGTTGCAGCACAAACACGATTCACGAGGGAAAAAAAGGAGAATTGAAGCACAGAAGACTGTCATCGAGTATCGAGGTTCTTACCTGAGCGAAGCTGCGCGTCCACCTCTGCCAACACATCCTCCGCTTTGACCACACTGCTCGCCATGCAGGCAAGGCAGAACAAGGAAACCAGGACCCTTAGTGACTTGCTCGTCATGGAAGATAGGACCCAGAGGGCCTCTTGAACTTGTCCCTTGCTCTTCCCGCCTTCTATCCAGCCTTCTTCTGCTCTTCCTCCCTCCCTTGTCACCTCATCGCCCTCCCTCCCTTGCCATCTTCAGGCAGGATCCTGTCCCACGTCCTTCTGAAGTGAATGTGACATTTGGGGCAGCACCATTCATCTAGAAAAACTAATCAGTCTAAAAATTACTGTCTTTGACTGTGCTAGTATCATAGTATCAGTGCCACGGGCCGGGCCCAACTTGCCGGGTTGACTCACTGCAGACTCCCGCCGGCCCGGCAACCTTCACTGAGATCCGTTCGAAAGTTCCACACAACTGGCACTTTGAATGATTTGGTGAGTTCAAATGAAGTTCGTGCGACTCATACTACAGTGCTTGCTTGTTTTCAGAACGTTATACCACGCCCAAAGCTGTACGGCGTTGTGATGAAATCTGCTTTCTGTCTCTGCACCAATTGTAACATGGTACCTTTGATGCAGATATTCAAGCTTCTTGCCAGTCAAGATCCGGATTCAACATGTACGTATAGGTAAGAATTTCTGTACATGTATAAACCTCGACGAAAGAAGGCCGGTAAATGTTGAGCTGTGCGATTGAATTTTATGATCTTTCCAACTCTCTTCGATCCTTGACCTTCATTCTGTCGTGAGTCACTCAGTCAAAACTTGCAAGGGTCGGTCAACCTGTCCGCTATGCACTACAAATGACGCGATGAGTCAATAGTGTCTGTTTCACATGGCTCCTGCATCGACACGATCGATCGGTGCGGGCGCGCAGAGGGAGACAGGAATTCGATAGCGATATTTCGATAGAATCGACAATAAACATCATCTTTGCATTTAAACATCATCTTATTTGCATGATGTTTATTGAGGAGCAATGATAGGCGAGAAAATTTCATCATGCCTTCCCTCACTGCATGTCTTTGTCTGTTCCCTCTTCACATACGGCATCTTGTTCGGTGATCAACTTCAGAATCTGGGCAAGATGTCAGTGAAAAGTAAAATTTACAGGTGACGGTGGGACCGCTTTCTTGCTTGTTTCCTGCTGCTCTCCCGCAATCAACAGCTCGTCGAGGATATAGTAGGCTTTGTGGAAATTGAAGATCAGGTCAAGCTCGCAGACATTCCCGAAGTATCTGTCAAGGACTTCGACAAACTGATGAATTACTTCTAAAGTGATGAGCTCGTTGTCCGTCTTATCAACTGCTCAAGTATCATTCACAACGATCAAGGTGGGGGATAAAGAAGATCTTTGTGTGTTAGCTCACCGCATGTGATGAAGAACAAGCTTGCATATCGCTTGTAGATCAGCTTGTACTCCCTCCACTCCAAGAAGTTGCAAAGCTTCTGGGGGCGGCTAAGGCACATTTGAGAGACCTCTCTGATCATTTTTTTCTTGTCCTTGTCGCTGTACGTGGTGTACCATTTCGACAACCTGCACTTTCCTTGACGGCTGACGAGGAGGAAAAATTGTATCATTCTGGTGGAGAGTGTACAAGGCCAAGAGAGAAAATCTCTTTGTTTCAACAGACAACTTCACACGGTTTGCAGGTGGAATGCGAGTCTTGTCGATCCTGTGCCAGAGCAAGGAGGCGAGAACGATGAGGTGGAGAAGTCAAAGAACAGAGGAAAGGAGAGGAGAGACGCAGGCTGTGAGACGAGCGGGAACGACAGGAAGAGGCGAGGGGGGGGGGGAGCGGCGACAGGAGCGGCGCTGGTCTGCGAGCTGGTTCGATGTGGCGGTGAATGAGGGCGATGAGGTGGCGATGACCGGTGGATCCAACGTGGGGCCGGTCGGGCCCGGCCCGGCGCCCGTACACTGACCGGAACGTGCTACGGCCCAGTCACTCCGCGGTTCGGCGGGCGGCCGCCGGGCCCGGGCCGGCGAATGAGACGCGGCGTGTCACTCGCAGGTCACGGGGCAGCCGCTGAGACATTATTGTACGCTCGCGGCAAGCTACGACTTGGAGGGTGTCGCTGCTCTAAATTTCACTAGGAGGAGGGAAGGGAGGGGGCGAGAGAGGGAGGAAAGGGAGGGAGGGAGGGAGGGAGGGAGGGAAGGGAGGAAGGGAGGGAGTGGGTTACAACTCAGACATCGCTCCCTTTCAGCCACTGCCTGCTAACCAGGGGAGGGGAATTTCCTTTCGTTTACCTTCAAGGCTTCATTCTTCCTTACCCCTCCCACTACCGCCGGATAGCACAGGTACCCTGCCGGACACGCCCTGCCGGGCATGGCACGGAAGACGTCCGCCGGGCTGCAGTAGCGAACCAACCGGACACGCCGGCACAGCCGTGGCCCCATGGCATGATGGGCCCATCATAACGAGCCGCCTGAGCGGGTGCAGCTTTCGAGGAGACAACAATAGCTTCCGGACATCACAGTTTTCAATACATAGTCGTGTTGGGCATGGAATCTGGTTTGACTGGTAACGTAGACGGTTGCAAGTGGTTGACACGGCGATTACATATGACATGGCATTGATGCCTGAATTGCACTCTCAACCTCTGTAGCTCTGTACGCTGCCATGCAAGCAACTGTATCAATGGTGTGCAGATAGAGCTTGTGCGTCCCTGCCCCTTCAATTTCTTCGACCTCCTGCTGCATCCCCACTCCTGCTACAAACAGACTGATCCGCTCCGGACACACCAGCCACGTCGCCCAGGGTGATGCCATATTTTCGCCGAGCGAGAGCGATGCTGGCAGCGGTAGGGGCGCGGGGCCTGGTCGTCAGCAGCACTGTCAAGTTGGTGACTTGGTCTGGATCGGAGCACCTGGGTACTCAGACGCTCCACCTGCAGGAGCCGCGAGATCAGGAAAGACGGTAAGGCTCCATGCGTGGCTGATCCTCTTGCAACGATGGAGATCGAGCAAGGTGTCGTCTGACTTGATCGCCTTGACGGTTACAAGCAGCTGAGGATGTGACATTGTAGGCATGAAATGACAGTGTGCAGCTACGAGCGAAGACGCATGCTTGTGTGATGATAGTCTGATCTTGAGTTTACTCCCAAGCCTCTGCTACAGCCTTGTACTCTCTCTCGCAGCTAGGTCTCCCTCCCCTAGCTCCCCCGCTCCTGCCACAAACAGACTGATCCGCTCCGGACACACCAGCCACCCGTCCTCGCTGTAGCCGCTCCCGCCCCTCCTCCCTCCCTCTTCCTGCTCGCGCTCCTCCTCCTGACCGCCATGGGTCGCCCCCCCGCCAGGCTGAGGGTCTTGCTGCGCCGCTGGTCCGGGAGCGCGGAGGCGGCTGGTGGTGCTGGCCCAGGTCCGGCGGTTCCAGATGTCTCGGACGGCCTTGGGGGTGATGCCGTACTTGCGAGCGAGAGCGACGCTGGCAGCGGTAGGGAGCCAGGGCCGGGAGGGAGGATGGGAGAGGCGGAAGAGGAAGATGTCGCGCGCGATGAGAGAGTCGATGCGGGCGCGAGGCCTGCCGGGAGGAGAGGGAGGAGAGGGAGGAGAGGGAGCAGTGGGAGGAGAGGGGGCAGAGGTAGCAGAGGGAGCAGAGGCAGTAGGGGGGGGAGGAGGGAGGGACATGAGGTGTGAGGAGCGTGCGAGGGAGGGAGGGAGGGAGTTGCCTTGAAAGAGTCAAGCCCGACTGCAAATCGCAACCTTTGAGACCAAGCGGTCGCATTAGATATGGTGGACTTAGAGGGCATCGTTTGAAATTGACCACAATAGATATTTAGGTGGTCAAATCTCAAACGTTGTTAATTTCAGTCGTCCAGAGTAGGCCTGATAGATATAAGCGTGACGGTCACGGCACCGAACGACGTGCTAGACGAACTTGAAGCTTTTCGCTGGGAGCGCAGGGAAATGACTCCTTTTAAACGCCTCCAGCCTCTCCTCGCTTCAAGCGCACCCTCCCGTCCCTGCCCCAGCCCTCCCCTCCCAAGCGCACGTATACTCCTGTCTCATCCTCCGTCTCCTCGTGCCCAGCGGCTGCCTCGATGACCTGCGTACCCTCTCACCCCTTGCATGTCCCTCTGCGGCCTGCGGCTCCCGTCGTCTGCCGGTCGCGACAGCTCGCGGCTATCCGAGCTTCCATCAGGCTCATCATGGACAAGTCGACCGTCACGTCAGCCATGGGCGAGGAGATGCGGCTATAGCGGGCCCTCCCGCGCCTACCGGGCCTTGTTGCTCATACAGAGCTTGTAGGCGTTGGGGAGCGGGTCACCCATGCTAGATGACGCTGCTGCCCAAGGCATACGCCGAGGGGCGCAAGAGGCCTGACTGAGGGCGGCGAAGGATGCCGTGGCGTGTAGTCTGCTCTTGATTGTGCTGCATCACGCCCACACACACGCCCGCAACGTGGTGATCCTCGAGGCTTTACAGGATGAACCTTAAGCGTAGCTCAACAAGAGCTTGCGTCGGAGTCTCTCTACAAAGAGGAAAGCAGAGAGTGACAGGAGGAGATCTATTTCGCTCCATTCTCCTACAACAAACACAACAAGCCGACACACACTGATATGGCACAACAGATGTGGCGCACACACGAATGGAGAAGATGACCACCTAGTCCTAATGAGGATGATCCTTTTAAAGCTTCGAATGAGACAGGAGTACCGTCATGTGGCTGAGGGAGGTAGGGGTGCTCCGTCCTTTGAAGTTGACAAGCTTTTCTTCTCAGATGTGGAACATCCCTTCAGCACTTGGAGAGAAAACTTTGCTCTCTTGTAGGGAAGTGCCAGCTTGCCAGTGCTGCTGACGATGAGAGGGAAGAAGACGCGTCTCTGCACTATTGGCTATGGAGGCCACCGTTTGACGAACGAGGTTTTCAATGCCAAGCTCTTGCGTCCACATGTACAGCGGCTTGTTGCTCTTCAGCCTGTTCCCGGGTTGTCGCGAATAGGTCAGTTCCGAACACAAGTACGAGACAGCCCACTGTACATTCTTCTGTGTAAACCTTTGTCTGACTCGGGCGCAGCTCCTTTGAGCTCCGACACAACGATGTGAGATGTCAGATCAGCACGCGTTTACGCACAATGAGTTAGGTAGGAGATTGGCTGCTTGCTTGGATGCCAGGCTGACTGCAGGTAGCAACTCGATGATGGCGGCTGGTTTGCGGGAGGACGGTCATTGGATCTCAAAGACCTCTCCGTTGGCTTTGCAGCTCAAGAGGACGAGAGCTAGCATGATACAGACACCGTATAATGCAGGAGAGCAAAGATCGCATGCCCAAACCTCTGTAAGATGGAAGGACGAGGGTCCTTTCATGCTCGGTAGACAGGAAGCAAGCATACAGCACAGGCAGGTAGTAAGCCCGTAGGAAGGAAGACCGAGCAGAAACCGAGGTATGCGGAAGAAAAGACAGCGAAGCAAGAACCAGCACCTGCATGATGAGGCCGAGGAGACGGTAACGCTCTTGCGACGATGGAGATCGAGCAAGGTGTCGTCTGACTTGATCGCCTTGACGGTTACAAGCAGCTGAGGATGTGACATCGTAGGCATGAAATGACAGTGTGCAGCTACGAGCGAAGACGCATGCTTGTGTGATGATAGTCTGATCTTGAGTTTACTCCCAAGCCTCTGCTACAGCCTTGTACTCTCTCTCGCAGCTAGGTCTCCCTCCCCTAGCTCCCCCGCTCCTGCCACAAACAGACTGATCCGCTCCGGACACACCAGACACCTGAGGGTCTTGCTGCGCCGCTGGTCCGGGAGCGCGGAGGCGGCTGGTGGTGCTGGCCCAGGTCCGGCGGTTCCAGATGTCTCGGACGGCCTTGGGGGTGATGCCGTACTTGCGAGCGAGAGCGACGCTGGCAGCGGTAGGGAGCCAGGGCCGGGAGGGAGGATGGGAGAGGCGGAAGAGGAAGATGTCGCGCGCGATGAGAGAGTCGATGCGGGCGCGAGGCCTGCCGGGAGGAGAGGGAGGAGAGGGAGGAGAGGGAGCAGTGGGAGGAGTGGGGGCAGAGGGAGCAGAGGGAGCAGAGGGAGCAGTGGAAGGAAAGGGGGCAGAGGTAGCAGAGGGAGGAGAGGGAGCAGAGGGAGCAGAGGGAGCAGTGGGAGGAGAGGGGGCAGAGGTAGCAGAGGGAGTAGGGGGGGGAGGAGGGAGGGACATGAGGTGTGAGGAGCGAGGGAGGGAGGGAGGGAGGGTGTTGCCTTGAAAGAGAGTCAAGCCCGACTGCAAATCGCAACCTTTGAGACCAAGCAGTCGCATTAGATATGGTGGACTTAGAGGGCATCGTTTGAAATTGACCACAATAGAAATGGCGTTTGTTCGTAAACCTCTAGGAGGTGGTCAAATCTCAAACGTTGTTAATTTCAGTCGTCCAGAGTAGGCCTGATAGATATAAGCGTGACGGTCACGGCACCGAACGACGTGCTAGACGAACTTGAAGCTTTTCG